TTATTAACGAAATACTATTGGTTATTATGTTTTCTTATAAAATTACTATAAAATCAATAGTATTTCGTTAATAAAACATTATCTAGTGATCCAAATGAAATGATTTTGGTACCATTGGATTCGTCTCACAGAGACGAATCGAATGGTACCAAAATAATCCTGATTGGATCACAGGTCATAATATATCCAAGTTTTTATAAAATTATATACTATATATAAATATATAGATTTTTAAAAAATTTTTATATAGTCTGGGGGGGTCAAGAGCTACTATGTAGAGGTACATAATGTTATATATGGATGCCTCCTTATTACTACATATTTACTTCTTACTTTCATTTATTTTTATCTTTACTTTACTCTTTTATTTTCACTTTAGCTTTTACTATATTTTACTTCTGTATACTTACTTTATATTATATTACTTTTATATTTTTAAACTAAAGAAAAAAAAATGGCCAAATATAATTCACGATTCATCTCATTAACTAAAGAAGAAGTTAAAGAATTTTAGCAGGCATCAAGAAATAAAAATACTAATAAATCAATGAAAATTTGGATGGACTTACTTTATAAGTTTTGCAAATTATATAGATATTTAAAAAATATTAATAAACTCGATAATAAAACACTATTAGAGCAGCTTGAGCAATTTATCATTGAAGTTTGTAAATCAAATAGCCAAGAATATAAGGCTTCTTCACTTTATATAGAATTTTGTACAATTGCACGAAGAATTTCTGAAGATTTTGAAACTATAAGAATTATAAATTTGTTTGACAAAACATCAGTTTAAGAGTTTGTATAGAACTTTAGATGATTATATGAAATCAATTGTCGACAAAAGAAATAACAAACATAAACAATCTGATCCTTTAGAGGTTGATGAAATTAAACTAATACTTAACTTACTAGCAACATCAACTAATAATACAAAAGGTTTTTTATGAAAAGTATGACTTTGGATATCATTACTATGCTGTTTAAGAAATGGTGACGCCAAACGTTTGAAGGCTTTTTGGTTTAAAGAATTGGATAATAGTGAAATGCAACTCGAACTACCTAAAGAAAACAATCATGCTGGTGGCATTAAAGATTCATATACTGAAGCTAGTTCTAGTTTTATACTACCTAATATTCTAAAAAATATTTATATTTCAGTTGTGGATATTAAAAAATACTTGTCAAAGCAACCAAATAATTCAGAGGATAACTTTTTTTTTGTTTTACTAAATATACCTAAAAAAATTTATAAGAGTAAATAGTATTTATCATCTAAATTAGAAAAGGGTCTTACAATACAATGATAAATGCAATTTGTAAAGATACAAAATTGGATTTTAAAGATCACACTATTACAAATCATTCAATGCATTTAACAGGTATTCAAATCTTATTAAAATTTAGTATAATATTATAAACCAAATAATTTTTCTTATTTTAGTATTAATGCATTTCAAACAGGCATTCACAATCTTGTAGAATCTAGCTTTTAATATATAAATTATCAGGTCTTATATATAAAATTTTAATTTTTTTAACCCCCTCTAGAAAATCATCTGATAATTGTCAGCTTGCTTACCAATACAGTCCGGGATCTTACTATATTTGGTTAATGCAGATTGCACCTTATTTAGTAATGATCATCTGTTAGGTCGTTCTAGATTTCTTTCTAGATTATTTTACGTGCTAAAAAAATTGGCCAATAAAATAATGCAGTAATGAATACTACAGTACTAACAATTGTTAAAATACCTCTTCGGTTAGATCTTTAAATCTTACATAGCAAATGCACTTTATAAAGTAATTTTCTTTCTATAAGTATGTATTTTTATGCACTTTTACTTCTTTTAACTGTCCCGGGAGTTTTGCTAGCTATATATATGTAGTTAGATCGCAAGATTAAAGCAAAAATATAGTACTGTAGTACTGTAGTAAGCTCATACGCTGAGGCCTCATTATACTATTATTCTGTTATTACTGTGTTAACTATTAATTTATTTTATTCCTAACTATAGATTCAGAACCTGCTTAAATTGAATTCGAATCTTAAAAAAAAAAAAAAAACAGAATTTTACGCAATCACATTTATACAGTCAGAACTCTCTAAGTGCAGAAGTGTACGCCCTTGGAACCACACTTTAGTAATGTGCATATAGAAAATAATAGAAAAAAGTGCATTTATTAAGGTCAAGTATATATGTGGGCCAGCACTTGAACGTGCATTTAGAGAGGGTGTAGTAATATGTTTCGAATATGCTTAGAGCGATCTTTTATTTTAATAAATTTATTTCATTCTGAAAACTTTCTCCAAGGATATCTTTTATATCCAAACAATTCTTTTTTATCTGGTAGTTTATTAGTTTTCAAAAGACTTCTATATTTTGTATACCAATAATTTGCACTTTGAATATCTCTTTGTACCAATACCATTTCAATAATATAGTGCAATGTTACTTATTGCTAATAAATATATTGAAGAAAAACTTCAAATCATTATTTTAAATGTTCAAATAATTACAGTCACAAAACGAAAAAAAAAATTGAATAAAAAATCAATGCAAAAAATAAATATCTTAAATAATTTATTATTTCTAATAAAATATACAAAACGTAATTCACAATATCTATAGTGTGAATGAACTCTATTAATCAAATATAAAGATGCAAAATACTAAAGATTTAGTAGATAAATTGAAAATATATTGACAAAACTTAACTGATGAAGATAAATTGCATAAAATCTATATTTATGACTCTGGCTGAGTTGCCTCTGAACCTTCTAAAAAATCTTCATTATCTACCTTATTATCTAAACTGAGCAGAGATTTGACTTCTTGTAGTATTTCAAATAATTCATCCTTTTTTTTGATTTTATCTGAGAATATTTTTTTTGAACATTTTCGTCAAGTTGTTCAAGAAGGGTTTTGATTTTCACCAAAAGTTCAGGTCGGGTCATATTTTCTTCAGCGTCTTGAGCCCTAGCTTCTTTCTTTGTAATCGGTATTGGCCTAAGTAAAAAAGAATCATTTTTGTTAATAAATGTTTCAATGATAAATTTTCGTCGAGCATTTTTAGCAAAATGTGTAAAATTTTTCAAATTTTCATCCAATTCACAATCTTCGCCTAGGCTTTGACAAGGTTTCAAGTTCGTTGGATTTACATAATCAAAATTTCGTAGGAGCATTCTAAATCTTTGACATTCCATAGTCGATTCTGGCCGAGTCCTTGGTCCCAATGGTTGATAATCATTATATCCAATTACTTGAAATAGATTATTCCTAAGCTAAAATTGTTGTCAGTAAAATGCAGTTATAAACAACAAATTAAAAATAAATTTTACCTCCAAAAAATTTTTGCAATTA